TTTCCTTACTCCTGATTTTTTTCTTCTTTGAACAGTCTTTTTACCCCAAATTATGTGTTGATTATTTAGCTTATTTGCTCTACATATTTCTTATTTTCTGATTAATGTAACTTATAGCGTATAATTTTCCTTTAAGTTATTTTTTTACTGAGTCTTATAAATTGGAAGATATAATTTTTAAATTATTATTCAATTTTATTTCGTGTATTTTGTGAATATTTTTCTCACATTTCTTTGATCTAAAGACAAATTGATAGGATGTTTTTTAGTTTCCAGACATAAAAGATTTAGTTTTTTAGTTTTATAATTTCATTATTAATTTCTAACTTGATTACTGCTTTATGGTAAGAGTGTTTCACTAGCATGTTAATTTTGAAACTTATTAGGGTTTCCCTTGTATTTTAGACATGACATTTTTGTTAATGCTTTATATATGCTTTAAAATCATCTATATTTTCTGTTTGGTGGATAGGAAGTTCTCAATAGAACTATCCTAAATTTATTAATCATACTCTTCAGATTTTCTATAGTGTTGCTTATTTGTCTGCTTCATCTGTTTTTGAGAGGATACCATACACTTTCAACTAAAATGCTTATTTTTAAAAAATTGAACTTCCACCCGAATATAGAAAAGTACAAAAATATAAGTGTACAGTTCAGTGAATTATCACAAAGTGAAAAGACACAAGTAATTGTACCCAGGTTGTAAAATAGTACATTACCAGGACCCCAGAACTGCCTTTCTAACCCCTTCAATCACAAGTATCCACATACCTCAAAGATACTATCAGAGTTCTCACACCATAGAGTTGTTTTTAAGCTTTATATAGATTGAATTATGCAGTATGTATTTTTTTAAAATCTGCCTTCTGACATATGAGAGTCATCCATATTGCTGCACATAGCCTATTGTTCATTCTATTTTATTGTCTTGTCATATTTCACAGAATAAATATAATGATGCATCTATCCATTCTACTGTTTATGTAAATTTGCGTTATTTTCAGTACTGACTTTTATAAGTAAAGCTACTGCAAATATTCTCAACTGTGTCTTAGTACATAAATGTCCTGTATTTTAATAGGGCATATTTGTAGGAGTGGGGTTTATTGGTCAAAGGGTATGTGTATATTTAATTTCAGTAGATACTACCAAACAACTTTGCATAATGGATGCAACAATTTAGACTACCAGCAGCAGAATATAAGAATTCTAGTTGCTCCACGTTTTTACCACTCCTGGTACTGACAGCCTTTCTCAAGTGAGCTACTGTGAAGGCAGGAATTAATATTCCCTTGTGGTTTTAGTTTTAATTGCCCTAATGACTAATACTGTTGAGCAGTTTTTCATCAATGTATTGGCCATTTTCTCAAGTGTCTTTTCAAATTTCTGGCCCATTTCATTTTCTGCTTGGTTATCTGTTTCTTTTCTATTGATTTACAGGTATTTATTATTTATTCTGGATATGAGATCTTTGCCAGGTGTAAATACCTTCTCCCATTTTATGATTCAATTTTACAATCCCTTGATCATGTATTTTGGTAAATTGAATGGTTAATTTTAATGTATTCCAATGTATCTTTTATGGTTAGTACTTTGTCCCTATTGAGAAATCCATGCTTACACCAAATTGGGGAATATATTCAGTGTTTTCTCCTAGATCAACATTGTTTATTAGGAACATAATGGGAGCCACAACTTTGAAACACATATATAAATTATTTTTTAAGTAGCCACGTGAAAAATATAATGAAACTGGAGAAATTAATATGAATAACAATATTATTAAGGAGATATATTTTGTTTTTTGTTTTTAAATAAGATTTCAAATTCCAGTGGATATTTTACACTTACAGCACATCCCAGTTTGGACTGGCCACATTTCAAGTGCTGATAACCACATGTGTCTAATGGCTGTCATATGTCATATGTCATATGAACCCAGTTCAGAAGCTCTAATGACATGCCATTTACATTTAACCGTGCTA